AGATTCAAGTCTCTTCAAATGGTGACCCCTGGGGGTAGGGTTGGGACACAATGGACAATCAAGGCTTAAGTTAGGATTATATATTAGAAAAAATCGTTAAAAATCTTCTTCTCAAGAACAGCAAAGCCATGATTGGTCATATTTATATCAAAGCATCCTCAAGTAGTGTAGATTCGAATTTGTTCAAATCATGACGCCCTGGGGTAGGGTGGGGCCACAATCAACAAACAAAGTTGGACATAGGAAAAATCTTTAAAAATCTTTTTATCATAAATGGCAAAGCCATTTTTAGCTCTACTGGTCAGAGCCCTGAAGAGCTTATGCGATAGTAAGATGTCTGTCGTCCTTCCGTCTGTCTGTCTGTCTAGCTGTCCGTCTGTAAACAATTTTTCAAAACGCTACTCCTCCTACAGTTTTGGTCTGATTTCAATATAACTTGGCAGACAAGTAGACTACACTAAGATACATAATTTAGTGCATCGGTTTTTGGTTTCGATGAACGGTGTTGCCATGGTTACTAAAAATAGAAATTTCTGTGAAGTTCCTTTAAAACGCTACTCCTCCTACAGTTTTGGTCTGATTTCAATATAACTTGGCACACAAGTAGACTACACTAAGATACATAATTTAGTGCATAGGTTTTTGATTTCGATGAACAGTGTTGCCATGGTTACTAAAAATAGAAATTTCTGTGAAGTTCCTTTAAAACGCTACTCCTCCTACAGTTTTGGTTTGATTTCAATAGAACTTGGCACACAAGTAGACTACATTAAGATACATTATTTTATTTATTGCTGCATGTTGCAAAGTTTCAAATCCAAGTGCTACTTTTCCTTTGTTATATGTACAGACCAGTAGAGCTACAGTCTCATCAGAGACTTCTGTTTAGACATATTAATACAGAAGCATCTTCAGGTAGTATACATTTAAGATTGTTGAAATCATAACTCATGGGATAGGGTGGGACCACAGCAGAAGATAAAACTTATGGGGTAAAAAGTCTCTTTAAAAATCTTCTAAAGCCATGATTAGTCAAAGAAATATGGTAGCATCCTCAGTGTAGATTCAACGCAGCTAGGTTAAGGCTGTCCGAAGGCTTAATATGCATTAAATATATACTATTTTATATTGAGCAATGTTTTGATTTCAATTTGTAATCTATGTATACTTACACAGTTAAGTTGTAAAGAAAGTTGAATAAGGTATTACAAAAAAGCATTTTTGTGATGTCACATGACTGTGTTGATCACGTGACGGACACTTATAAATTTTTTTAAATGTTGCACAAAATCGCATCGGCACAAGTGGAAAACAAAATTATTGTGAACGGCTTGTTACATAAATCAATTAAACGTATTCTTGGGTATATATAAAGTGCTGGGGGCAAGTCTGAATTTTATTTCATAAGAAAATATTTCACGAGAAATTCAACTTACCCACATACAAAGGGTCATTTTCCACTCTTCATCGCAATTTATACAAAATAGGATAAATTACATACAATCCCCCAGCAAAATTCAGTTAGAAGACATATTTCTCTAGTAGATTCACACAGAATATCTTCAATTAATCCTTATTATTCACTTGTGCCAGTCTAATATATATAAGATTTATAGATTCTAACTCTGTCTACAGACACATAAGGGGGGGGGGGGGGGGGGGCATTTCACATCCTTTTTTCAATTGTTTGAATACGTACATGTTAGACAAGAAAAAGTAATAACGATATTTATACTGCAAATATTCACCATCATTACAGTCTTAAAACAACAATCCAGACACATGAATTAAACATCAGCGTAAAAAAATTCTACATGTGATGTGAAAGGAATGTAAAAGTTATGACACTTTCCCCGTCATGTCAGCTCAAGTATGCAGTGACTTGACGTCATATGCATTATGACGTCATATCTAGGTAGTTCAGAGAAGTTACTTCGGCTGGTACACTGTGACATTCTTCGGACAGCCTTATCATAGCCGCGAAGTTTGTTCAAAGGCTCAAGTGAGCTTTTCTGATCAAAATTTGTCCGTTGTCTGTCGTCATTGGCATTGGCATCATTGTCGTTGTTGTTGTAAACTTTTCACATCTCCATCTTCTTCTCCAGAACTACTGGGCCAATTCCAACCAAACTTGGCATAGACTATCCTTGGGTGAAGGGGATTCAAGTTTGTTCAAATGAAGGGCCGTGCCTTCTTCCAAGGGGAGATAATTGCGAATTCATGAAAAATTTATGGCATCTTTCAAAAATCTTCTTCTCAAGAACCACTGTGTTAGAAAATATGAAACTTATGTGGAAGCATCTCAGGTAGTGTAGATTCAAATTTGTTCAAATCATGACCCCCAGGGGAAGGGTGGGGACACAGTGGGCGATCAAAGTTTTACATAGGAATACATAGGGAAAATCTTTAAAAATCTTCTCAAGAACAGCAAAGCCTTGATTGGTCATATTTATATGGGACCATACTCAGGTAGTGAAGATTTAAATTTCTTCAAATCATGACCGCCGGGGGTAGGGTGGGGCCACAGTGGGCGATCAAAGTTTTACATAGGAATACATAGGGAGCATCTTTAAAAACCTTCTTCTCAAGAACAGCAAATCCTTGATTGGTCATATTTATATGGAACCATCCTCAGGTAGTGAAGATTTAAGTTTGTTCAAATCATGACCGCCGGGGGTAGGATGGGGCCACAGTGGGCAGTCAATGTTTTACATAGGAATATATAGGGAGCATCTTTAAAAACCTTCTTCTCAAGAACAGCAAAGGCTTGATTGGCCATATTTACAAAGAAGCATCCTCAGGTAGTGTAGATTCAAGTTTTTCAAATAATGACCCCCATGGGTAGGGTGGGGCCACAGTGGGCGATCAAAGTTTTACATAGGAATACATAGGGAAAATCTTTAAAAACCTTCTCCTCAAGAACAACAAAGCCATGATTGGTCATATTTATATGGAAGCATCCTCAGGTAGTGTAGATTCAAGTTTGTTAAAATCATGACCCCTTGGGGTAGGATGGGGTCACAGTGGGCAATCAGAGTTTCACATAGGAATATATAGGGAAAATATTCAAAAAATCTTCTCAAGAACAACAAAGCTATGATTGATCATATTGATATGAAAGCATCCTCAGGTGGTGTAGATTCAAATTTGATCAAATCATGACCCCCAAGGTAGGGTGGGGCCACAATGAAAGTTTAAACTTGTAGGAAAAAAGTCACAGGAAAAAAAATATGTAAGCATCCTTAGTGTAGATTCAGTTTTGCTCAAATCATACCCCCCTCCCTTTTAGGGGTAGGTCGGGACCACTTATGCATTTAAGCATTGCTATACTAAACTGATTTTAGCTTTTTTCCTAGCCACTGTGCTCAGGTGAGCGATGTGGCCCCTGGGCCTCTTGTTGGTAGGTTGGGACCACTTACAGACATGATTTTTTTCCACTTTAAAGCAGAATTCTGTTTGTTTTTTAAATTTGCTCAATACGTTTTAAAATTTGTATTCCATTTTTAGGTCACCTGAGTCACTCAGGTGACCTATTGCTATCTCTTTTCGTCTGTCGTCGTTCATAAACTTTTGAACATTTTCAGCTTCTTCTCTGGAACCAGTGAACCAATTCAACCAATTTTGGCATATAGCATCTATGGGTTGAGGGGGAAAAAAATTGTGAAATTCCTGGCCCCTGCCCCCCTGGGGCCTGAGGGGTGGGGCCAAAACCATCAAAATTGATGCAATCTTTAAAAATCTCCTTCTTTACTCCTGACATCAAGCAGTCAAATTGTTGGCATGATTGTATAAAAACTGCATGAGTACATAGTTATAATGATCAAGGATGCTTCTTCCAAAATTATGAATTTCATCGCCCCTGGGTCAGGGGTTCTGGTGTTAGGGTGGGGCTCTATTGATTATATAGTGAAAATGCATTAATACTCTGAAAATCTTCTCTGCTCATGGGTATTAAACAAACTAACTGAGATCATAGTTAATTAAAAATTATGAATTTCATGGCCCCTGGGTCAGGGGTTCTGGTATTAGGGGGCTCTTTTGATTATATAGTGAAAATGCATTAATACTCTGAAAATCTTCTTCTCTGCTCCTGGATATTAAACAAACTAACTGGGTACATAGTTATGATGAGTAAGGATGCCTTTTTTCAAAATTGTGAATTACATGGCCCCTTCAGGAGTTCTGGTGTTAGGGCGGGGCTCTATAGATTATATAGTGAAAAACATTAATACTTTGAAAACCTTCTTCTCTACTCCTTGGTATTAAACAAACTAACTGAGTACATAGTTATGATGAGCAAGGATGCCTCTACCAAAATTATGCACTTCAAAGAATTAACACAATTCCACTATAATATTATCAATAGCACTTATAAATTTAATGAACTTTTCAATACCAAACTCCTACCTAAAGTGCTCAGGTGAGCGATGTGGCCCATGGGCCTCTTGTTACATTTTTTTAATATTTGCAATTCAAGTTTCCACCAAAATTTCCATGAAGTGCATATAAAAAATGGAATTTTATTTTTAATTGTGTCTTGAAATTCATAATGAAACCTATAACCTCATAAAAGAAACGGAATTTTTATAAGTGCCATAAATCATATAAATTCTTTGCTGAAAACTGATAAAATTTTAAAAGACCCCAATTGTTAATTTTTTCAATAATTGTTTTCACTGTGTGCATGAGGAGTTAGCCTTCTAACAGACTCTTTAAATTATGGTCTCTGGGTTTAAGGTTCAGACTCCAGGACCAGAGATATACAGTTAAAGTATCAATTTCTTAAGTTAATGCATGAATCATTCAAATCTATTTCAGGTGAAATAAAACTTCTGATGTTAAACATTCAGGTAGGTGCATGTTCACGAAGTGCAGTCAACATACCATGCAGTGTTCCTGAATTTTTCCAGTGGACCTTTTGCTTATCAGATAAAGATTGTCTTGATTCCATAAAGAAGGTTTTATATCCCTTGGGGATTGGTATAAATTTATTTCAAAACATGGCACCTGTGTTTATGTCTCCATCCTTCTTTGATCCAAGTCTACTTGTATATGCTTTAAGAGGTACAAGTCAAAGCAATGGAATAAGATGTGAATTTTTTAGCTGGGATTTGTCAATAAGTGAGGAAGATTTGAAAGCATTTTGCTATAACTTTGTCAAAAATGGAAGAGCTCAAGGGGTTTTCCTTTACTCAGAAAAAGAATGGGGAAGAGTTGGAGTTTATCTTGTTGGTTTCAAGGCAGCCTTTGACTACTGGAGACCTTTTATAGCAGCAGAGATTCAGAAGATGCAAAAGCACATTTTACCTGAATCTGAGCCATTTAAAGTTGGCATTATGGAAACAAAGATTTTTCATGAAATGAAAACCAAGCTTGAAGCAGAATTTCAAGTCCAAATCAGTTTTGAGTCAGATAATGTGAGGATTACTCCAGCCACACAGGAAGCCATTGAAAAAGTATTTAGAAGAGTTAAGGAGATGCGTGAAGGTTGCAGAGTCTTAGAATTGCCATTTGTATTTTGCTCCTTTCTTTTACATCAGGGAAGGGCAAAGTTACATGTAGAGAATGAAATTGAAAAATTGTACAACCTTAAAGTTCACTTAGTACCGATTGAGGAAAAGGATGTTTTGAACATGCTGGCATTTGAAGAAAAGGGTAAAGGATTGGGAGAAATAGAAATGTTAGTAAACAAATTCTTATTTTTGATTCCTTCAGAAGATGCTCTTTGTCAGCTGGTTTTTAGTACAGAGAGTGGAAAGGCATTATTTGCACAAGTTGTCCAGGAAAATGAGGGAAAACTTAGCATTATAGTGAATGAAAGAACACAAATGTGCTGTGTAGGAACAAAGGATATAGAAGAAAAGGTCAAGAAAAGGTTGTTGGCATCTTTGATGACTCAAGAGTATGTAGAGCTTCCTTCTGAAGAAGTGTGGAATTTTTGTGAAAAATACTGGCAATTTGATGACATCCAGAAAAACTTCCATTGTGAAGTAAAACTTGCAAAAGATGTGAAGTTTGCTTGGGCAATAGTAATTAATGGACAAATGAAAAATGTCTCTCATTGTCACCAACAAATTGCAATAGCAGTTGGAAAGATTGATACAAAACCAGTTGAATTTCTTAATTTCACAAATGGCTTTGAATCTGATGTGATTAAAAAATTGAATGAAGAAAAAAGGTGCTTCGTTAACCTAAGATCTAGGACACCAATTCCTTGGAAAAAATGGATTGAAAGAAGAGGTTCGGGAAGAAGTTTAACTTACTCTCTCAGCTTTGATACCATTTCAGTAATAGGAGCAGATGACCTCAAAATAACTCTGTTGCCAGAGGAGCAAAGTGGAGGTAAGACATTGTTATCTTTCATGTTTATTGCATTAAAGGCTTAATGAGGCCTGGCCAATCTATTTTGAAATTACAAAAATGGACTGTCAAATATCTTTAAATTTTGGATAATGTATCTACCATGTTTAGAAAAATCAAAATCAAATTTAGCTACCTTAGCTTAATTGTAATGTAATGAGGACCTTTCAAAATATGGACCATTTTTCATGGTTTTACACACATATGCTAAGACTACCTTATTAAGAAAGATATTGACAAATAAAAATAATCTAAAAGGTTAAAAATCTCTTCATACATAATATAAATTAGCCATTTCTCGTTTAAAAAATGAAAGGAAAAATTGGAAGTAACCTCTATTGTAGTGAAAAAGGGAGCATATCAAAACACACAAATAGGATTGAAAATTTTATTTAAAAAAACTTTTTTAAGTTGCAATAAATTTACATAATATCAACAAATGATTTTTGTACTGTATGTCTTAATGTGCGACAGGCACTAAAAATAACTGCTTAATTTGATAGAATTGCAAAGTTTCATAATATGTAGAAAATTAACGATTGCATTAAACTGAATCATATACCATGATTTAAAAAAATTCAAGCTACTGTATACATTTTTAAGTTTTCAGTTAAAGATTTAATTAAATATTTTCAAGGAGAAAGTCTAAATGTGTTTCCTTTTAGCTGCAGTCATTTTTAAACTCAAAGGTTAAAATAACGTTAACATTACAGTTCTTTTGGAGATAAATCTGTTGAATTTCTACATAGGAATTGACAATACATGTATTATCAAAATAAGTTTTGTTAAAATTAAAGTTAATTTAAAAAAAGAAAAATTTGGGGCCTAGCTTCTGAATAGGTTGAGGTTACAATAAGATCAGAGTTTTACAATGGAGTATATAGGGAGAATTGCAAGCGCACACTGTATCATATTTATTTACCATAAATCTGGAAATTTGTACATCAATTTATTTTTGTGAATTTGGTCCAAAATGGTGTATATTAGTTTTTACATTTCTAAATTTTGCGAATTCACACCATGGCTAAAAGTAAAGAAATATGGAAACACAACTAAATTTTATTAAAAAGTTCTACATATTTTGATTAATCGTGCATTGAGATACATTTAATGATGTGTGCTAAATTCAAAGGTAGTTAAAATAATTCTTATTAAATGTATGTAAAATAGGTCCGTGTTTTTCCTTAGTTACCCATGCTTGTTTGTTTACATGTATTTATTTCAGTCAGGGTGAGTGCGACAGGAAATTTTGTGTTGCTTCAGTGCACACATAGTTCAGGTAGACAAGGTTAGATAATGGTTGCTAAAGGCAATATTGGGCTGCAGAGAATCGATAATTAGTAAATTGGCATTCTGATCAGCTATTCTCCTCATAAACCCTTGACCTGTGGTGCTGTCAAAAGTCCGGATTATTTACATCACATGATCTTGAATCTTACCACATATGCCCATGCAGGTTGCGTCATTGACAGATCTAATCAAAGCACTGTGAGTACTGTTAGACGGTGGCATGTTTAACGTCCCTTTCGAGAATTTTTCACTCATATGCAGACGCCACCACTTGCTGGTGGAGAGCTGCAAATTTTGACCTATACTCAGCACTCAGGGCCATTGAGCAGTGAGGGATCTTTTTCTGGCCAGCACTTACTTAGTTGTTAAACAATTTATTGCATGAAATTTTCTAAACTAGTTTTATTATAGAATAAGGTTTCAAGAAAAAAAAACTGTGCGTGAAATGCCAGAAATGAAATTTTGATCATTTCAGTGGGTTTTTGTTGTTGTTGTTGCTATATGCACTATTGTGGTGTACAGTCATAACTGCAAATTCAAAATGAAAACATATTTGAGGATGATGGACAGATTGAAATAATATATTCAAATAATGGATTATGGGATCTTCATGTACTGAATATATTTATTTTAAAAGGCATGTTTTTTTTTTGTTTTTTTTTTACAAAAAAAGCCCAACCCCCCCCCACCCCCACCCCACCCCATGTGAACAATTTTTCCAAACTTATTGGGAAAGTTTTTGAAATTTTGAGAAAATTCAGCCCACAATATATTTTTAACAAAAACTAACTTTTCATAAAGTATATGGTAAAAAGAGAAATGATGAATCACTTTTGGCTATGTACTGTATATTGTGCGACCAAATCATATGATGAAAGATAATGAATGCACTGACCTTGCTAGTCATTTTAACGAAGTTTAACAAAGGTATGAAGTTTAATTTGTGAACACATGCATGCAGGAGAAGACTGACCTAGATGTAAATTAAGCCCACAGAATTTGTAAGAAAATCCTAATATTTCATGTACATGTATTTGTGTATCTTTTTTTCTTACACCTTTTAAAGGGTTTTTATTCGAGAAACAATAGAATTTTCAAATACGAATGAAATATATTGGTAACTTTTGTCCGTCACAGTCTTTGTAATTATAGGTGTGATAAATTAACATCTGTTCATTAGTTTTTGTGTCTAAGATAATTAGGCAATGGCTTAATTTTTTTTTTTTGGTTGAATCGTGATAAACTTTGCGAATTCTATGGCATCATATCATTGCCTCCAACAACTTAGTATTATTGGTGTAGGCCATCCATGTACAAACTAATACAGTTATTAAGAGTGAACAATGTAAAAGAATTGTGTAACTTTGGAAAATTCATTTATAAAGCCCTTGTGCTTAGGAATGATTTAAATATATAATGTTGTGTCATTTGCTGACTTGGCTATTTATTTTTTTTTAATATGACTATTACTACTATTTTTCATTAATCTACATGCATGTGTCATTATCCATATAATCTATTATAATTAATACTGTTAACATGGGTTTATATGTATGTATATGATATAGATTTATAAGGACTGACTGTCCATTTTCGTCTCTTTTGTTATAATCTTGTAAAGCTGCTAATTAAGACGTAAGTATGTCTTCTGCAATAAAGAAATTGAAAAAAAAAAACTTTTATTAACTGATTAAGATGTCATGATCTTTTTTTCCTTTCCGAAAATATATATTTTTCTAATATAGTTTCGTCAACAGACACTAGAAATTCAAACAATCAAAAGACATCGTAAAATTTCAATTAACAATAAACTGTATAAATTTTATTGTATAAAAATTCCACAAAACGTCTCAAATAAAATATTTATAAAACATCGAACTATATTGTACTTTGGGAAATGGAGAAATTTGGAGATAGACTTCCAAGCATGGAGTATCTCGTACATGTAATTAGAAAGTATCAAATTGGGAACTTCTCGTAATTAGCGTTTGTCGCTTAACTATGAAATTGTCGCGTGTGTGTTGTTTAACAATAATTATTTGATTTTGGTGTTATGTTGTTTAACAATAATTATTTGTTTCGGTGTTAAAATGTCAAACCATTATCCATAAGTAATTTTCCCTAAATTTTAATTTGGCTATTAATAAATTTTATTGAAATTTTACATTAACACAACTTAAAAACAGCCATGTTTATTAAATGACTTTTCACATTTGTGTCATGGTCATAAAAAGGAAAAAAAAATTGTATGAATTGACTTCTGTAGTTTGCATACGAATATATAAATTGGTTTGTGTATGAATTAGTTGTAGTTCAGCATAATTTAATGAGTATTCATGAGGCGAGAAATATTGATAAGTGCAAATATCAGGAATGAAACTTAATTGTGCCCATCAACAAAAGGTCATTGAAATAACTTGAGAGTATTTGTTAACCAAGTACAAAAACAGTTGACTTCACATTTGTGTCATGTTCATAATCAAAGTACTCAGTAGTACAGAGAGCCGGGCTCACTTACATAGTAGTGAACAAAGACAGATTGAACTAGAGCCGAGCTCGTAGCAATGCAACGAATAGGTCTTCCGTCGGAGCTCCGGACAGGACATAGCGACCTTGAGTCAAGGTCATGCAACATTTTAAGGTTATAAACAATCCTGTAAGGGGCATCAACTTTCAATGTTTCAACAGTAGAAAGACAGTAAAGAATGTTAAATTCCCATGTCAGTGCACTTGAACTTGTCCAAATAACCTTGCGTCAAGCCATGACACATTCTGCAGCTGGTTAAGAGCAAACACCATCTGTATGTCACCGACATAAAAAATTCACAGTCACGTATTCTTTCAGACTATTCATCCAAAACATCATATTCTAAGTGACCTCGAATTTTAGTCAAGGCCATTACACACTCTGGATGATATATTTATCATCATTTCAGTGAAATGCAAATGCATGCAATTTTTTCTATTACAAAATTATAGAAATTTTTGTTTGATTGTTTGTATGTTGTTTAACGTCCCTCTCGAGGATTTTTCAATCATATGGAGACGCCACCATTTGCCGATGGAGATCTGCAAATTTTGACCTATATTCGGCACTCATGGCCATTGAGCAGTGAGGGATCTTTATCGTGCCAGCACCTACTGCCAGACGGGACCTCAGTTTATAAGGTCTTATCCGAAGGATCGGTCTCTGCGTCCCACAGTGGGATTCGAACCTGCGACGTAATGATCAACTCCTTAATTCACGACTCTAGAGCAGACACTCTTACCACTGCGCCACGTGGGCGACTAGACCTTTTTGATTTTACACTTATTATATCAGTGACCTTGAACTTGCCTAAATGACCTATGTTAAAGTCAAAAACAACCTTTGAACAAATTATGAGCTTCCAGTGATACTCAATGACAGTGATACTCAATGACAAAGATATACCTGAAAAAGAATATTGCACTTTTCTGTCAGTGACCTTGAACTTGCCAGAAAGACCTTGGATCAAGGTCAAAACACATTCTTGGATCATAAGCAATCTCTGTATCAAGTAAAAGCTTCCAGTGATTTTATATTACAAAGTTATAGCATGGAAAAAAAAAAAAAAATTTATCTGCCAGTGACCTTGAACTTTCCGGAAAAAACCTTTGTTCAAGGTCAGGACAAACCCATCTCAAGCAATCTGAGAAAAAGTTTCCTGTGT